TAATAAGTTGTAAACAGAATGCATTGATAGATACTAAAATTAACAAGCAGAAGTTGAGGAGAAACAGGATTTGCATAGTTTCCAAGTGTCCTCCCCAAGAGAAAGATAATAACTTTACGTTGGAGAAACATGCAAAAACTACCTTAGAAAGCATATTCATGCCATTTAAATGGAAAGTCTTTTAAAAGATTGCTTTGGTTAGTTCTGTTGAGTATAAGGAAAATGGTTACAAAACAGTGCATCATTGAATTTATATTATTGTTTCCTTAATATCACTTTTTGTGGACCTTGTAAGGTTTCCCAGCCTAAATGAATATGTCTGTCATTTGATTTTTTAATTTTTCTCGTAGTCCTCTGCTTTAGTGTCTTCTCTGGAGGCGGAACTTTCCGAAGTTAAAATACAGACCCATATTGTGGAACAGGAAAACCTCCTTCTCAAAGACGAACTGGAGAAAATGAAACAAGTAAGACTATGTGCAGCTTGTGGGGGTCACAGAACAGTATGTACCTGATGGTCTAGTGTTTGAAGCCACCAGGTATCCTTTGTACTGAGTCCTGTCAACTAACTTATTGCTCGGTCAAGTTGAGGACTTAAAGTCTGTTTGTAAGGTCCTATTGCTAATTCTTCTAGATATGTAACTTATATATGTTATAGACTTTAAAATTCTATTGCTACAAATGAATCCCAACCACTTCAATTTAAAAAAAACTATTATTTTACTTTCTCCCATCCAGGTGATAAAGTAACATAAATTTATCTAAAAAGAGGGTGACTTTCTTGCTCACAACTTTCATAATGCTGTTCACTCTTGATTGGTGGGGCGTAGGTAAAGCTGGTCCCTCCTTTAAAAGAAAATGCCTTTTTCTTTTTTTGAGATAGGGTCTCACTCTGTTGCCCTTGCTATAGTACAGTGGTGTCATCATAGCTCACTGCGACCTCCACCTCCTGGGCTCAAGTGATCCTCCTGCTTCAACCTCCCGAGTAGTGGGGACTACAGGCGTGTGCCACCACACCCGGCTAATTTTTCTGATGTTTTATAGAGATGGGGGTGTTGCTGTTGCTCAGGGTGGTCTTGAACTTCAGACCTCAGGAAATCCTGC